TGTACTCCAGTATCACAGAAAACTGCCTTAGCCGAAGTTTTAAAAGCACGGTTTTCCGACGAATATTCAACATTTGGTATATTATATGTCGCTTCAAGCTTTAAATTAAACTTGATCGGATTTTTACTTGCAATTGATTTTAGTAAATTAACTAGTTCAGATTTGATCGAATCGAGAAAGTATGTATAGTTTTGAATATTATTGGTGTTTTTTACGTAGTACCAGGTGATAGTATTGTTTGATGATGTAGATATTTTTGTAAACCCTCGAGACTTTACGAGATTCAGACGAATTTTTTTTGCCCTAACAGCGGATTGAGTGTTGACGCTGGAAACACGTTTACCATTATCGAGTGTAGTGTATGAATCTTAAGAAAAAAAAAAAAAAAAAAAAAATTAATCTATGACGTGTTATAAAAGAAATAGCTAACCTTGAAAATCATAAAGTCCAAGATTCTCAACGGTGTCCAAAACTTCCAAGCATAAATCATCATTCGCATTACTCCAAAATTCATCCTTCGTGTTATCTCGCATGGGTGATAAGCGATCATTTTGCCCGAGAAGATCGGCGGTGTCGAGAACCTCCCAGCATTCATTCGCGTTACTCGTCAATACATCCACCATGTTATCTCGCATGGGTGATAAGCGAACATTTTGTTTATCTCGTGTAGTTGATACGCGATCTTTATGAACGGACGATGTACCAGGTTGCAAGTTTGGTACAAAAACGTGTGGCGCGATCTGTACTATACCTGATGACAAAATTAAAATAAATATTTAAAGTGAATATAGAAAATAGGTACATACCATGAACATTTTTCAAATGTCTATTGAGGCTGGTCTTGTAACTGAACGTAATGCCACACCTAATACACGGTATACGAATACCCTCGTGCGTTTTTTCGTGTCTTGTCAGATTACGTTTCGCTGTAAATTCCGAAGCACATTTGCTGCATTTGAGCAATTTCGAATGTGTTTTTCGGTGAGCGATCAGATTTGACTCGTATACGAATCCCAAAGAACATTGCTCGCATTTAAACATTTTAAAATAAACAGATAAGAAAAAATTAATACGTTATATAATAATTACGTACGTAGTATTAGCATAGAGCGAACGAGATGTAGGTAATAGAGCACTATAACACCAACTGAGGACAGTAATGAATAGCGACTATTCATTCATTCAAAAATCCCTACCGCCGCCGCTGCCACCACTGATCCCCGTCACGTGACAAAATACAGGGTCGTCGGATTGTTCTATATATCGGGTGTACTAATATCAGTATGGTATAGTGTTCAAACCATCTGTTAAAAAAAAAACTATGAAATCGGGCTCAAACGTATAACGGAAGACTGTATAGTTACCTTTTCTAGATGAGATATACTTTTCGCATGCAGGGAAATATATTTACAATTAAATATTCCAATTTTCTAAAATACCATACCCGTAAGTCCATTCTCTCAACATCATTAATCTATCTAAACTTAAATTACCTAATTCTACATTTAAATTATATACACTATTATTATTATAACTATAAATAGGAGTACTACGAATATTATATACAGTATTACTTAAGTCTAAATCTAAATATTCTAAATTATTAATAATAGATATAATAGGCCCCATTTTTTTTTGAAAAATTCTAAACAATAAAAGATCCCAATAATTTTTAGCTATATATGAACCCCTTAATTCTAAATTTCTTATATCATAATTTATACAACGTCTTATTTTTAAAAATATCTCCTCCCAATAATCCCTACTTGTATCTTGTAACCACATCACACTCCCGGATAACAAATTATCATTCCAGATAATGTGACCATGGTCGTCTACTAATTGGTAGGTTTGCTGAAATATTTTCCGGAAAAAATATTCGAAGTCACGATGCGAATATATTTTTAACTCCGGCTTAATAAAACTTAAATTTGTAATTATATTAGGGTTTAAATTTAAATTAAATTTATCGTATACAAATTCCCGCCATTCTATGCTAGTTGACATATGGTATTTTTTATGGAAATTTTTTTTTTTCCCTGCATGCTTCACAATTCCATACAAAATGTTGGTGATTGTCTAATGACGCCTCGCAATGAGGCGTCATTAAACCCTCTAGAGAGGTATGAAAATACCTCTCGATTACTTCTAAGACTTTAAAAAATAAAAATAAAAATAAAAATAAAAATAAAAATAAAAATCCCGGATATAAATATTAGGCAATGATACTTACTCGATTCAGCGTCCATAGTTTGCAAAGTATCGCGTTGATTATTACGTGTTATGAGCTACTGATACGACGTTTAGAGTACAACTAATTCTAGTTCGTAATATATGTTTTTGATGAGAAAAAGTATATTTCTAAAACTATGAAGAGCATTGTCTATGAACTATCACAATCAGGCAAATTTTACATTTTCACTATATATTTATGTTTTTGATTCATAAAGAGTATATTTCTATAACTATGAAGAGCATTGTCTATGAACTATCGTAACCAAGCAAATTTTTACATTATCATTATATATATATAGTTTTATGCGGAGGAAGATTTCCAGCCTCTGCTCAACAAACTTGTAGCATGTAGTATCAGTTGTGTGGTATACATCATATGGTTTAACGAGATATAGTTAGCTATATGAAGGTGGTGTATAAAATATATATTATAAATATTGTAGAAAGAAGAATGTTATACGTAAGGGAAAAAAAAAAATAACGCTGTGAATAGTTGTAAAGAAGCGTTTATTAGTACCTGTATATACATCGTTAATTTATCTACAAATTTTGTACTATATTAAATATTTTAACAGCTACTTCCCTACATTCTGCTGTACCTAATACATCTTCATAATATCTATAACCATGGATTTTTACTAACTCCTCCATACTAGTCCATACCTGCAAGCGACGCCTACAAATGTCACATTTTTTAAATTGTCATATATACGTAGTAGGTAGGGTCATCATATACATGCTGTGTAAAGAAATGTTTTTTAGAACTTAACATAATTTTATGTAAACTGTTTCCTCTGGGCTCAATAAATTGCTATAATAGTCCCGTCTCGGTGTATTTGATAGCTACAAAATGTTAAAAATATACCAGTAGATTATTTTGTGTTAAAGTCACTGTGATAACGTACCGGAGGGCTCGCGCGCGCGTTCGCGGCGGTTCTTGGCATGGTATAGTGGCGGGGGAAATTATACTAATATGGTTGTATGATGTGTATATAATTATTAATTGTTTGGATATAATTTATGTTAGTATGTACCTATATATTAAAATATAATGAAAATGGTTTAATATTTTTAGATACGTGTGATAATGTACCATATCTTTAATGTTTTTTTTTTTTAGTTCTTTATTTTACACAATATATTACAACAATCTGCTCTACTTATATATCTTAAGGAAATTGTAAATAATTTGTAAAATAAAAATACTTTTTTTAAATATCACGTTGTTTTTTTTTATTATATATAAGTAATAAAATATCATATTACAATAAAATATTACATTCTTAACGAAAAATTAATGTGCGGGCTGCTTTTGCGGTTTCACGTGCTACGAATCCCCTCGTCCTCGGTCTGGTTACTTCAGACTAAAAAAATTTGTTTTCTTTAGTATAAAATAATATGTAAAAATAAAATCGTATTACCTCAATTTCGATCGAAGAAGCTAACCATCCCCTTGCCAATTGTTTGACTGCCTTGATTTTCAAATCTGCTATTAAACCATTACCAGTGAAATTGAGTTGTTTTTTCAATTCTTGGACATCGATGCGGGATAAATAATATTCAACATTGCTTATTTTTGTATCTTTGGGTAACGGCATTTCCTTTCCAAGATACATTGTAATATCACAGGCCTGACGTAATGCACTAGGTCGTGTATATATATTTTTCATATGAATAACTTCTTCCACGGCATCATTTAATTGCAAGATCCTCGAGACATTCTCTTTAGTTAATCGTACATGTTGATCCTGTTGCAAACACTTTATCGAGAGAACGTTGTCACCGTTGTATTTATCTACTGAAGCCAATTTAAGCTCCTTCAGCATTAAATGAGATGGTCGTGAAAAATTGATGTAGTTAAGAGCTATATTAATTAGAGATTTATAGAATTCAATACTCATTTTAACACACTGCGAGTTATTTGAGATGTATATAACGCAATTAAACAAAAAATCAGGATCTAATCCTATATTTATAAAAATATTGCTATCAATAAAGAATGTAGTACAATCGATCAGATTAGCTGGTGGCGATGGTGGTGTATATTTGTAAGTTTTCTTGTAAATATTTTCCATATTTTCAATTGGACCAGCCATATTTATTTTACGCACTGAGAAATAATTATGATTTTAACACTGAATATGAGACAAGCACACGCGAAACACTTGGAACGATTATATAGAGTGACTGAATTTATGTTGTGTAGTTGTGTTCATAAACGAGCAAATTAAATATTAATTGGTGGGGGAGACATCGAAAAGTCCCTACAGGTTAATCGGGTGGGGTAAATGGTATAGTGGTGGGGGAATTATACCTCGCGTACGTAAGCGACGCCAGTTAAATGAGATAGAATATACCTTCTCAACAGATGCGAGTAGGCGGCCCAGTGGTACGGTTGTCGCTTATCATGCAAGTTAACCGGGTTCGAATCACGGTCCGGCGGATAATATTTTTAAATTATTTTCCACGCGCAAAGTCGGCGATGTCGATCGGTGGTCATAGGTGGTGGGGTGGCGGGGGTACATCGTGTGTGATATATGGTGGGTTCAGCAGCCGTCAATGTATAGGGATGAGCAGACGGGTATAGTGGGATGAGCAGACGGGTATAGTGGGATGAGCAGACGGGGTATAGTGGGTTGAGCAAACAGGTATAGTGGGTTGAGCAGGCGGTGTATTGGGTTGAGCAGACGGGTATAGGAAATTGCCAGCAGGATGAGGTTCCAGAACTGTCTTTTTAACCAATTATAATGTTTTAAAATAATTACTTAGATATAATACCTGTCACAATTTTTTTTTAATGTTTCCTTTTTGCAGTCAGGAAATATTTTTCTATAATCACTTACAATTTGTAACACAAATTGTTTTTGTTCCTCATTGGTGGTGAGTATTGAATTGTAGTCTTCAATCAATTGTATTCCCTTCTCGGCCGTATCATTGACTGTTTTCAGTTTAGTGACTATTTGCAATGCATTTTGAAAAGATAAGTTTTCACTCCAATCTGATGGGTCATTTAAAAGAAATTCTGTATCCAAGTTAAATATTTTGAAGAAATCTAATGTTTCACTTGAGACGAAAAATTCTATTTCGTTTTTCACAAATTCTGGAACTTCTGATTCTTTTAAATTTAGTCGTTTGATTTTTTCATTTGAACCTATTTTGTTAGTTAGTTTAACTATCATTTTTCTTTTTGATTCAATAGAAATAGTCTTATCGAAAAATGCCAATGCAACTGCTTCGGCTGTTAGATACCACAAATGATTTCGACATTTATTCAGTGCTACCCTAGATATATTATTATCAATTGAACCATAGTTGTACAATTTTCGTATAAATAGTAAATCTTGATATGGTGCGGCTGCAGCGGAAGGCGCTTTAAACCATGCTTCGATATAAATTGTAACTACAAATATCACGAAGCCCGTTTTTTTCATTGGTACTTAATTCGAATTCACTACGAAAGATGTATATTTTAAGGCTATAAATAGCTTTTGCCATCCATCTTACATGGTGAATTGCACCAGGAGTATGAAAAAATATCGTATTATTAGGCTTACCACCTAGAAAAATCATTGTTAACTCGAGTAACTCCTTGTAATCGTTTTGAGGTTGTACAATTTTCAAAAGTTCTTTTACAAACTCTAAGACTATTGTTAAATGTTAGTTAATCATTTCTTTAATTTGTTTGTCCGAAATACCTGGAGAAAACCCGTTTTTGTTTTTTTTTTTCCATGAGAGCTGGAATCTTTTGAAAATAGGAACGTCTTTTGCTGTTGGTTTATTAAATTTTTCCTCAAAAACACTTCGTAAAATTATCTCATAAATATGATGTCTGCAAGGCAAATAAAATAATTTTTTTCCTAAAAGTCTTTCTAACAATACACAAGTACCGCCCAATCGACCACTACTAACTGCAGTTATATCAAATGATAGAGCTTTAACTGAATTTTGCATATTCTATTTAATTAAAGTTTTGTAAATAACTTCTGCTTGTTCTTTTGCTGTTGCTTTTTGTAAGACAGGAATACTTAGAATTTTTTCTATACTACCACTAGAAATTACTATGGCTAGCCTATCAATAATATCTTTTCCAACCAAATTAGGAAGTAGCTTGCCGTCCCAGTGTAAAACAACATCCTGAAGATTACTTTCTTGAAATTTATCTTTTATTAAACTCGCTTTCTCCTTACGAAAAATCTGTCGACAACGTTGAATTTATGTCCTATTAATAACAAAGTCCTTCACATTTTTTCCTAGAGCTTCTACTACGGCTATAATGATATGAATTGCCCCCTCTATCACTTATTTTACAGTTGTCTAGTGCACAAACTTGCTTAGTAGTAATTATGGTCGTCTGTCCTCTTACTCGTTTTGATGATGGAGGCCCAACATCTATTTCCACAGAATTGAAAGATTCGTCTATCTCCAAGTCACTAGAAGAGTCGTCTATCTCCAAGTCACTACAAGAGTCGTCTATCTCCAAGTCACTTGATGTTTTGTCTATTTCCATTAAAATTTCTAAGATAAAATATAGATAAATACTATTCCATTTATTAAGACAGTTATATAAAAGCATAAATTATCATTTACAATTACCTTCAGTTTGAGCACTTCGCTTTTCTCTTACAAGTGCTTTATTTTTTCGTTCCATAGAAAGTTGCTTTTTTCGCATATTTGTATAATCAATACCATACATAAATCCTATACGTCCTTTTTTTCGTTGATTAATTAAAAATAGTTTCGATTTTAATCATTTGTAGAGCATCCGCATGGGCTACATCGAATAAATTATTAAATGTTAAAATAAACAGTTCTTCGTGTTCTTTATGACTTGCTGTATTTCTTGCGGCATGCTTTTGAAGTGTTCTCCACTCATCGTATAAAGATTTGACTTTAAATATACAGTGTTTTTATAATCGTACTGGAATACTCGCTTTTCCAAAAAAACAAACACTTATCGAATAATTAATCTACCACTTTCTCGAAGATTCAATTTTACTACTCTTATATTAAAAAACAAAGCCTTTAATACTTCTAAGTTAGACGGTAATTTACTTCCTGATATTTTATTTGAATAGTTTTTAATTAAATAAATGTTCTCTCGTAAACATATATTAGTCACTGTTAAACGCAAACAAGTATGCTAGTAAAAACTCTATGAAACGTAAGTACAAAACAACAAATTAAACTTGAACACTGAACACTATACGTTGAATGAGAGCAAAAGATATAATATCATTGAATATCAACGGGTTTTGTTATCTTATATTTATGTTTTAATCACAGGAATTTACTGAAATCGATTACATTATAATCATATAATAATATAGTAGATTATTTTCGAGATAAACACAGTGTTTAAATAAAAATTATTAATACAGGACTCTTATACAAACATAATAACTATTTACTTTAATTCTACTAAGATTATTTTTGTATTTTTGTCTATAATATGTAATATGTAATAATTTCAAGTGATATTTTTGAAATCGTCATCAAATTCGCTATCTAAAATAGTAATTTTTAAATGTTTTTGGTTGAAAAAAAAAAGTTATAGCCCAATGTTTAGAGAATTTTGTAAAAAATTACATAATTACTGAAATTCAAGTTCTCAGGGGCGCGTCTTAAAATTGAATGTTTGATCTCAAACTTTACAGTTAATATTTAATTATGTATTTACAAAAAAATGGGTGAGTGCCACAAGCTATACAATAAAAAAAGCCAAAAAAGTGCTCCTAATACAGCGCGCCCCCGAATTCTGGAAATATCGTAAACATCATATACTAATAATTTTGAATCTTTCTTCGTCACCCTTTAAAGTACAAAAGGTTTGGTATACATACATTCCCTAGTTCGTTTTGAAATAGCCATCATAAGTATTAAGTACTTACACCTCGCAGGAGCCTATATCGTAAATCGTAAACACCGGATCGTTGATATCGTATTATTTTTTTAGAGCTCAAGTCTACGTTGTGTCCTCTTAAAAAACTACAAAATGTCGACTCTTTATCTTATGCATTTTCAATTAAAAATAAATTAATTTTGGTGAACAATCCAAAACGGGCGTCTTAAATGTACTTTGCAGTAGAATCGTACTTATGTCTACTAATTTTTGTGGGGTGTTCAATCGGATTTATTTTAACTTCTTATTTAAAATCCTTAATTCTAGGAGGATTGTTATCTGTAATGTCCCATTAATAGGATAGTGAACAATTAATGATATATCCGCTACTTTACGTGTTTTGGGTGTTTTCAGGAGAACTTCCACTAGACTTTACCAAATGTAAGATTATTCCTATTCCGAAAAAAGCAACCGCTAACAAATGTGATCAATACCGTACGATTAGCCTGCTGACACACGTGTCAAAAATACTGACAATAATCATGTCAATAAGAATGGAATACAAGATCGAAGCCATATTGTCAGAAGATCAGTTTGGGTTCAGAAAAAACATGGGTATAAGGGAAGCAATATTGGCTTTAAGAATAGTTATCGACAAAAGAATTAGAAAAGATAAGCCTACATACATAGCTATTGTTGATATAGAAAAAGCGTTCGACAATGTCAACTGGGCAATAATGTTCAAGATACTCAAAAGAGCGGGTATAGAATACATTGAAAGGAGACTACTCTTTAAACTATACTAGAAGGAAACAGCTGTTATAAGATTTGGTGAAACTGAGGAAGAAGCACGCATAAGAAAAGGAGTAAGGCAGGGTTGTAATCTCTCACCTAGCATATTCAATGCATACGTCCAAGAGACCAATAATAAGAGAGAAAATACATTTGGGTATAAAGATAAATGGCAGGACAATCGATATGCTACGGTTTGCAGACGATATAGCAGTTATAGCGGAAAATGAAGAAGAATTACAAAGGATGCTGAGATGTATGGAAGAAACTCAGCTCAATGAACTGACATGAAAATAAATATGCAAAAGACCAAAGTCCTCGTATGCAGCAGGAACAATAATATTACGACAAGAATACATCTGCAAAGTAACCAAGAAATTAAGCAAGTGAAAGAGTTCGCATACTTGGGAAGCATAGTAAGTAAAGATGGTAGAAGTGTAAAAAAAATAGTTAAGCGAATATGCCAAGCTAAGATAGCATTTAACAAAAAAGAGGACTTTTTACTTCAAAAGATATTAGCGTACGCACCAGAATAAACCTTCTGATGACATACGTATGGAGTATAATGCTGTATGGCAGCGAAACATGGACGATTGCCAAAGCAGAGCGGAGAAGGATAGAAGCTTTCGAGATGTGGTTTCTGAAGAATGCTTAAAATAAGGTGGACCGACGTGGTATCAAACGAGGAAGTATTAGAACGAATGTCCGTGAGAAGAACTTTATGGAGTAGTATCAAGAAAAGGAGAAATGAATGGATTGGACATGTATTGAGACATGGTGGGTTGCTAGGATTAATTATAGAAGGCTGTGTGGAAGGAAAAAGGCTAGGGGAAGACCACGAATGGAATATATGCAACAAATAATAGAGGACCAAGTGTGTACTTCTTATAAAGATACAAAGAGGAAGGCAAGTTACAGGGAAGAGTGGAGAATTGCTACAAACCAATCTCAGGATTGAATACTGAAAAAGAAGAAATAATATGTTCATTTAACTCACCAGACAAAGAGTAATCATGTCTTGCACACTCGGAACGTCTAATTAAAAATGCTCCGTGATCGTTTTCTGGCAAAAGCAGTTGCTTCTCGGCTTAAAATCTTTCTATTTTGTCAAAATACCACAGCTCGGCTTCTATAGACTTGGCTACATAATTATTAGGGAAAGAGATATAACCTTCCTGTTTATCTTGTGTATCATTCAAGATTTCCAAATGTTCGCCTTTCTTAAAGCTAATGTCTTCGTTTGTGCGTGCAAATCTTTTTACCGATGTGTTGGCGTTCGAAAGTACCAGGTCAGGCATGGGCTGACTTGCCGTATGTCGTCGGGGGGTGGCATATTCTGTATGAGTCGCTATGGCTACGCTCCACACAACTGAAGCAGCTAACCATCTAGCGTGGCGCGTAAATAAAAAAAAAATCTATTATTAAAGTTAAAACGTCCTCGAAGGCTCGAACCGAAGGTGATGAGGATTCGTAAAAACTAATAATTAATAAGGCGTTCTTTTTTGATAGATAACATTAAGCTGAATCGTTATATATCGATGGTTAGAAGGTAAAAGGGCGTAAACGCCACTTTTTTCAAAATCGATGTTTTTGCATATTGTTGTAAACGGCATTATTAGACATAGATTAATCGAACCTATACATCGCGATCATTTGTATACATCCAAGAATCGATGTTTTAATATGTGGTCGTAAACGGCATAGAATTGGTGGGAATGAAAAAACTGGGTGTAAACGTCAGATAAAAGATGTAAACGGCATTCAAGGAAACTTGATAATACGTAAGGGTCATTGTTGACGCTTACATCAATTTATAATTTTTGTTAGTGGTTTTGTCAGCACTGTAAATAGCGTTAAGCGGCATGATAATACAATGAACGTGACGCGGTCCCGCGCAAAATCTGTTTGAATTCAAACAGCCTTTGCGCGGAAGCCGCGCCGCGGCTTCTCAATCAAACCGCCAACCGACGACGGACGACGCCGGCGCGCAACACGCGCGCCTGGAACCGTCGGCCGGCCGTCCAGCGAACCGGATTGCCAAGGCGCGCTCTCTCGTCCTCACGACTCCGACACGGATAGACCTACCCACGTTTCCGTGAACCCGATATCTTTGAAACACTGTTATACTGAATGTATTTTTTTTTTGTTTTAGTTTTTAATAATAAAACTCGGTCACACTAGTGCGTTTCGTTTGTTGTTATTTTGTGATTGATCACTTCGTTTTGTTTGTTTCGACCCGACGATCCTCCGTCGGTCACCGCACCACCACACCATCACACTCCGCGGCACTCCTTAAGTCCGCGTCAACTGGCTCCCCGAACAGGAATCACCGGTAAGTGAAAACTTTCTTACACCCTACATACTACCACCCCCAAATAAACCCCCCTGGCGCGTTTTGGAAAAAAGTCACCAACGCGATCCGGCAAAAACGTGGTTTGCAGGCGGTAACGGAAAAACCGGCGTTACGTAATATATTACATAACCATAAAGGACGTAACGACCGGCCGCGCCGCCCGACTCACGGACGCACCGACCGCACCGCGCGCGACGCACCAAACACCCACGACGCAGGTAGGCATTAGGTAGGAACGCAAGAGCGCGAGAGGGTCACACCACCACCGCGTAGCTCCACCACCCGCCAACGATAACACGCGATTACCCGGGACAAAAATACCACGTAATCGGACTGCCGCCGCCGCCGCTTAAAGCGACAGCCGCCGCCTTCCCTAATCGCAGTAGTGCACCGGATAACGCACACACGCGCATCCGCGAAAACACTCTGCGAAGACCGGTTACTGTGATCGCCCGGCAAGCGCAACAATAACAATAACAACCCACTGACCTACATTCCGTACGCAAATAAACACCGATAAGCGGACAACACAGCTGATCGAAGGAACGCGATACCCGTTCCAACGACAACAGCCACATTTTATAATTTCTCGTCAACAACACCGGAAAACCAACCGGAAGTCATGCCGGGAAAATATATTAATGAATTGACCGCCGCGGAATTGCGCTACGAATGCGGACAGCGCGGTTTATCGGATACGGGCGCGAAGGGTGATCTCGAAATCCGATTAACACAACATTTCGCGGACATGAACCTGCAGGCCAACGAAATCCGGTTCCCGCCTATGGAACCCACTGGGCAGACCGGACATAGCTCGGCCACAGGTCTGGTACCCGACGCCAGTCAAACCGCGCAAATACAGATCGAGACATCACACGCCCCAGATCACCCCAGATCACCACCAACAACACAACACCCCAACCATCAACCACACCCACACACCAACAAGCTATGGATATGATCCAAACGAATCGTACCATAATTAACGAAGTACGGCAAGCGGTGGAGAACTCGGCGCATGGCTGCGGTCTGGAATCGCGACTGACCATGCTCGAGAACTGTATGGCCCGCTTTGGCGAAGACCAACGTCGCATTGCAGAGACAATGCGACGCCTAGAGATGGGTATGGCACGCCAAGCACCGGAACAACAACCGGATGCAACCCCACCGACCCGCCCACGCCACACAATGTTATCGAACAACACGGAATACGGAGCGAGGTACCCCGCGGCACGCGAACCGCCGTCCGCGGGTAACCACCGCGCCGACCATTCAGTACGTTTCGACGACACAACAAATTTACACCATGCCCCCTCCTCCACACACACCTACGCGGCACAACAATCGACGCTGATACCATACGACGACGTATGTGCAGCGAGACATTCGCTGCCGGAGTACCACGGGACAACACCTGAGGACCCGGCAAGATTTATACATAAAGCGGAGTCGATAATGTACCAAACGCGTATAGACAGATCGGCCTGGACAAATATTATCGCACAACAGCTAAAGGGTGCAGCCAGTACCTGGTGGAACACCATCAGACTACTGGACGTCACTTGGGACGAGTTCCGCGCCGAATTTTTAGAAAAATTCGACAACGTGGAAATTCAGTCACAGCTGCGGGCAGAGATAGTATCCGTCCGACAAACACCAACGCAATCGCTAACGGAATTCGTAACGCAAAAAAATCAACTTGCACGCCGCGTCAACACCGGACTATCTGAAACACAGCTAGTAGGTACTATAGCCGGACTAACGCGCAACGAATACCTCACGCACATAAGATTGCAAAGACCAGCGACTTTCGGAGATCGCTGGAGTCCTGGAGTACACACCTGACGACCCAGCGACACAACCACAGCCGAGACCGGCGCAAAAAAAATTTTCCCAAACCCGCCCACCACACCCAACACACCAACCGCGAACACGGGACGGTACGGCAGGCAAACCGCAACCGCCCAACCCATGCAGATACTGCGGAGGTCCTCACTGGAACAGTGACTGCCCCGGGAACACACCGCGTTCGGGAAACGGGAAATGAGTCGGCGGACACCTGTCCACGCCGCCGCCTCCACCACACACACACACACACACCACTACGCCACCACACACAACGTTCGGCATTACAGACGGGGATATAACCATCAAACGCGCATCGATAAACTCGGCGTCCTCACATATATCACCCGTCCAAACATCAACAATTTCGTTAAGTAGCAGGTCACCATCACCACACCACGCGGCACCCCAAAGGTCCGCATCAACGACCCCTACTACGAAATTAACAGGTACACATACAGTACATACACATAGCACAGAGGTAACCGAAACGGATGCTCTGGTAATGGCGGTGCAAACCGCTCCCCAGAACACCGATATGGCGGTTAAGAACCAGTTATCCAGCTATACATCACCACCAACGTCGAATAACGCTAAACGAGTATGCCCCGACAAAATTCCGACCCCCGCGGTCGAACTCGAATTTAGGTCAGGCCCCGTAACAGCTCTACTCGACTCCCAAGCACAAAAATCGTATGTAAGCCCGAACACTGCACAAAAATTTGGCACCCCCCACCACGGACAACAAACTCAGGTACGAATGGCGGATGGTCACACCACATTGACAAGTGGTACCTCCACATTCGTAGCCAGAATCGGAGACCTCACGGTCACCTTCAACGCAGCCATTCTGGACAATTTATACTGCGACATGCTCCTAGGTCACGACTTTCTCGTACAAAACGAAGTCACCTGGGACTACACAACGAGCACTATTCATTTAGGTTCGAATAGGAGAACAACAGCGTGCTGGAAAGGTCGGATACCCACCCCCAGCCCAGCACTAGATGTCGACAAATTAACAATAAACGGTGACCACCACACACGCGCGAAACTCGCCGAAGTAGTACGTAACTATCCGGACGTATTCAACGGTAGGGTAGGCCGCACCAGGTTAATAGAACACGACATCCTCCTCAAAAATCACACACCCATAGCCCTCAAACCATATCCCTATCCACCGGTAAAACAGGCCATAATCGATACCATGTCCCGTACATGGAGGAGCAGGGACTGGTAGAACAAAGCACATCCCCGTGGGCCGCACCCATCGTCTTAGCAAAAAAGAAAGACGGCTCACCCCGACTGTGCATTGAGTATAGGCGGCTCAATGATATCACTGAGTCCGACGCTTACCCAATGCCCGACCTCAACACGCTGATACGACAGATGAGAGGGGCAAAAGTGTTCAGCGTTCTTGACCTTAAGTCGGGGTACTGGCAAGTACCACTTAAGCAGGACGCGCGAAAATACACGGCATTCCGGACGCGTCGGGGCCTATACCAATTCCGAGTCCTCCCCTTCGGCCTCAAAAACAGCCTCATGACCTTTGTGCGACTAATGGACGAAGTCTTGAGGGGGTACCTGGACGAGTTCGTCCGCGTATACCTAGACGATATAGTGGTGTTTTCGAACACTACGGATGAACACCAGTGCCACTTAGACAAAGTTTTAGAACGTCTACAGAGACACGGGCTGACATGCAACCCCGAGAAATGCAGATTCGGATCGACCGAAATCTCATTTCTTGGACATCTAGTCACCTCCGACGGTATAGACAAACAACCGGAGAAACTAGAGGGCATCATAAACAACCCCCCACCAACAAAGCTGAGGGACCTACGGAAATTCCTGGGCGTTTGCAACTGGTACAGCCAGTTTGTCGACAACTACGCGGACACCATAGCGCCCCTAACGAATAGACTCAAACAGGGAACCAAATGGTCGTGGACCGAAACCGAACAGGCGGCATTTACCAAATTAAAACGCGCCCTGTACGATTCGCCTAAACTATCGACACCGGATTACGGAAAACCGTTTTGCCTACAGACCGATGCTAGCGAGATAGGAGCGGGAGCCGTCCTTTTCCAACGGGGTGAC